ACGGTTGAGGTGAAACGAGAGGTCTTCCATATCCATCACCTCCAGCTTAGTTTGGCGCGCAAGCGTGCACTGCGCAATAGAACAGAAGAGCGGCAACAGCGGCACTGACCACAGCCTCATTCCTTGCATCCTCTTCCACCCATCCTCCCCTGCTCGTCTTTGCCCGAAGATAGGCTGCTGGCTTACGCAGCTCGTCTTTCCTTAGATCGTCCCACGATGCGAAGGTGACACACATCCTGCTCCCAATGAGTGACTGAAGCCTGAATCCACGCTTGCAGCAAGCAAACGACAACTTGTGTTGCATCCTCAAAAGACCTTGTCTGTCCCGTCGTGGTTTTATCCGCGTCGAATCGGTATCGGCCTCGTCGGATCCGTGTCGAATCCGTGTCGAATCCGCGTCGAATACACGCAAAATCCGCGTCGAGGCGGAGAGAGGAGGAGCAAGAGGAGGAAATGCGATGAAATGCGCACGCGTCTTGATCGATAGTCAGTGGTGGTGCTACCGTGTTAGGGCTAGGCTGTACTGCGCTGACTGTGCTGTGTCGTGTTGTCGAACAGCGCTGCATTCCAAAGCAATGTAGATCAAGTCGCCCTTGGCGTCGGAATTCTGACCTAAATGATCTGGATACTGAGCTCGAGCTGCCTGAAGGAATTGCTCCCCCAAGGCTGGTTGCAGTCGGAACGTGTGGGGCGCTCAGTCAGCTCGAGCTGAATATCCGATTCAGCTCCGAGGCGGTACGAGTCGAGGGGGAACGAAACCGAACCGAGATGAAAAGCACTGAGAAGAGACGGACCGAAACGCAGCGAACCGCGACGCGACGAACCGAGACAGGACGAAGCGAAACAGTAATTACGAGCCGACACGAGGGCCGGACCGAAACCGTCCTGGTCCAAAGACGCTTTCACCCCGCGATACTTCATACATGACGCTGGATCCGCGCTCCCACGTTCACGATCCCTTCGTAAATGATAGTGGGCCCACGCCCTCAGCGCCACGATCCATAGTAAATCACTATGGGTCCACTCTGGACTCCAAACGCTACGACCCCTTGCAAAGAGAGAGAGAGAGAGAGTGCGCTTCAAATTCGCCTGTCTTGGGCAACTCCCAGAAAGGGGGGTATCCGGAAGAACCCGCCAGACAGAAATGCGCAGGCCCTCTCCAGAATCCGAGCTCGGGGGACCCCCCCTCCCTCTGCTTGCTGCAGGCAGACGACGACGACGACGACCACGACGACGACGACGACGACGACGACGACGACGACGACGACCACGACGACCACGACGACGACGACGACGACGACGACGACGACGACGACGACGACGACGACGACGACGACGACGACGACGACGGGTCGGGCGGGACATCGAAGCGGGCGGGCTGGGACGGGCAGGCAGGGAGCGGGCGGGACGGGTGGGGCGCCGTCGTCGCCGATCGCCGGCGCAAGGTACGGGGTGCCGGGGGGAAGGGGGGGAGGTCGTACGGTCGGGGCGCTGACCTAAGGAACCCTAAATAAGGAACAGGGCCCCTTTTTTCTCCATAAGTTGAACTTCGATTTCCGATCGAAAACATAATAAGGAAAGCCTGAGGCAAGCTGCGAAACATTTAAGGAACGCGGAGCCCCTCCCCAACGAAAAGGGTTCCTTCTTCAGGGCCCCGACTGTACGGTCGGACCTAGGGCAGCAGAGCATCCTTCAAGAGCATGAGGCACTCCGCCCCAAGGTGCACCAGAGCATCCAACCAACACGAAGAGCCTCAGGGCACACTCCCCGAACCGACCTCGAGCTTGTACCGCGGTCCGACCGTAATCGGGGGGGATTCATAACCTTGGGCGCGAATCACTGGGGGGCGTTCGTGGGGGGGCCTTAGGGGCCCTTCAGGCGCTCTGAAGAGCCCCTTTTCAGCAACCCTCGCTGCTCCCCATCGATCGCCCCCACCGCGCGTCCTCCAGTAGCCGGGTCGCAGCCCCCCCACCGCGTGCCGGTTGGTGGTGGTGGTTGCGACCCCGCCCCTGCCCAAGTGCGCGTGAATCCCACCAGCCCTCTGGGCGTAGGTGGTCTAGGGCGGCTCCTCTTCCAACCCCCTTCTTCCCCTTCGGGGAGGGGTTTATCACTGTTCCCTACCCCTCCCCTGGACCTGGACGGGGGGTTCCGCGAGCGGTCAGGGCGTCCAAAACGGCCTCGGCGAGGAAGCCAAAATCATTGGTTTTACTAGGGTGGTGGCCCCATTTGGGCCTCTTGGGGAGGGGCGGGGAGGGCAACGCTAAAATGAGCTCCCCTCGTCTTTGATCGATCTCTTTCAAGATGGTCCCAAGAGGCGCCCAGGAGGATCCAACAGGTCCCAAGATGGCCCCAAGATGGCCCCAAGAGGCCCCGAAGAGGCCCCCAGGAGGCCCCCAAGAGGACCCCAAGCGGCCTTAAGAGGCCCCCCCGAAGCACCCAAGACGCACAAGAGCCCCCCAGGACCGCCAAGAGACCCCCAAGACGTCCCAAGAGGCCACCAAGAAGCGCCCAAAAGGTACCTCAAGAGGCTCCGAGAGGCATCCAAGAGACCTCTGGCCCTTTTGCTTGCCCTCCTCCTCCCGCTCCTCCTTCCTCCTCCTCCTCCTCCTCCTCCTCCTCCTCCTCTTCTTTCTCCTCCTCCCCCTCCTCCTCCTCCTCCTCATCCTCCTCCTCCTCCATCCTCAAGAGCCGCCGGATCTCAGAGACTCTGACTTTCTCCTCACCAGATTTTATCCTCGTCCTGGCCTCGTCTGATCACGCCCTCGCGGGCGACCTGCGTCCTCGTGCCCCTGTGGGTGACCTTGGCTTCTGGGACTCGCCTGGCCGCTCCCGGCGGCGTGCCCCTCCCCCCCTTTTTGGGAGGCCTGGGCCCCTCTCGCCGACTCGCCGTTGACCCTCTCGACGACAGGGCAGCCTGTCGGCGGCGATCCAGGGTGGGGAAACGAGAAGGAGAAGAGGCCTTCTCAGAAGGCGGCGGGGCTTCTCGGCAGCGCCCAGCGGCCTCCTGAGAAGCTTTCCGTGCCTTCAGGGAGGGCTCCGGAAACTTCTCGGAAGGCCGGGGCACTTCTGGAGGCGGAGGAGGAGGAGGAGGAGGAGGAGGAGGAGGAGGAAGAGGAGGAGGGGGAGAGGGAGGGGGAGGGGGAGGAGGAGGGGGAGGAGGAGGAGGAGGAGGAGGAGGAGGAGGAGGAGGAGGAGGAGGAGGAGGAGGAGGAGGAGGAGGAGGAGGAGGGGGAGGAGGAGGAGGAGGAGGAGGAGGAGGAGGAGGAGGAGGAGGAGGGGGAGGAGGAGGACGAGGAGGAGGAGGAGGAGGTGGAGGGGGAGGGGGAGGGCGAGGCCCACCCCTTCCCGCTTCCCCCCCGGGCTCGCCGCCGAGCCCACGAACCTCTGGGATTCGTCTGGCCTCCCCCGGCCCAGCCCCCGTCGCCGACTCGCCGTTGACCCTCTCGACGACGGGGCAGCCCACGAAGCCAGAGCCGTGGCCGGCGTTCACGTCGTCCGCGAGGATGCTCAGCAGGGTCACGGCCTGGGCCCAGCGTGGGCCGGGAGAAGGTGCGCCGAAGGGCTCTCGGGCCCGAAGGGATCTCCAGGCCCCAGAGGGGGAGGGGACAGGAGGCCCCCCTTTCTCCCAGTTCCCTGGCATCCCCCCCACCATCCACCTCCAACCCGTCCCCCTTCTCGTATCCTGGCCATTCTCCTCCTCCCCCTCCTCCTCCTCCTCCTCCTCCTTCTCCTCCTCTTCCTCCTCCTCCTCCTCCTCCTCCTCCTCCTCCTCATTCTCATCCTCCTGCGTCATCCTCATCATTATCGATATCCTTCTCGATGTCCTGTTCCTGGCCTCATCCTCATTTTTCTCCTCCTGCTGTTACCCCTCCTCCTCCTCCTCCTCCTCCTCCTCCTCCTCCTCCTCCTCCTCCTCCTCCTCCTCCTCCTCCGCCTCGAAATGGAAGAGGGGCAGGGAGAGAGGAGTGAGGGGACGAGGAGGAAGAACACTTCACCCTGTCTTCCTTCCACCATCGCTGTCGTCCCCTGTCGCACCGTTCCCGGCGCCTTACCAACACTCACACCGGCCGATTGACAATACGTATGCCAGTTCATCCACCTCTCCCCATCACCAACACCCCTCCCCGCCCACCCACCCTCCCTACACTCGTTTGCGGCGACCGGCGCAGGCACGCCGCCAGCGACGCGGGCGACGCCCACGCGCTCGTCGCCCGCGCGCTCGCCCAAGGCGGCCCAAGATCCCCAGGATGGCATCCCCAAAAGCGCCGCCAGAGGCCAAACGCATTGCTTTTCCATAGGTTTTGGAGGATTCTGGCGTTCTCGCACTTTGGACCCTCGGGTGCCCATGATGGCCCAAGCAGCCTCCAAGACGGCCCGAGAGCGCCCAACGATGGCCCAAACGGCCCCCCAAGACAGTCCAAAAGACCCTCGAGACGGCCCAAGAGGATCCCAAGAGAGCTGCTGGCCCCGAGAGGTCCCCTAGACGGATCCCGAAGGGGCCAGATTGCACAAGAGAGCCCAAAGACCGCCCAAGACGCCCCCAAGAGGCCTAAAGAGGCCCCCAAGAGGCACCCAAGAAGCCTCCATCCCGAAGAGGCCCCCAAGAGGCTCCCAGGAGCCCCACAAAGACTGAATTGCACGTGGTCCGGACGTGCACCCCGCGAAACGAGAGGAATCTTCTTAATCAATAGATTCGTAATCACAGCGCGCACGCACTTTCGTATTGTGTCGATACGCTTGAAGAGCACATTGTTGACTTTCTGGAGCACGTCGCACATCAATACTTCATGACTTTCGTCCAAAATGTTTTGCACGATATCCATATCCGTGTTCGAATTTAAGCGCCTCTTTCAAGTGTGAGGATTGGCTTGGTATCGACAAGGTATACGACTTTGCTTAACCGATTTGGTAACCTCTGGACACTCTTGCACCGAGTGTTACTGCCACCTCAAGGAGTTCCAACAGTTTCGGCATGCTGAAAGCAAGTTGTTGATAATGTTATTCGACATGCCACCTTCCTGTAATACAACCAGCAATCCCCCAAGGGTTGAACTATCGCTCGCGATCTCTCCCACGGCTCATATGTGGCTGGCTTGCATGAACTTCGAGCTACGATTGCAAGGAGGTTGTATGTACGAAGTGGCCACGGACAGCGGTTGCCCGATGATTTTCATCAGAAGCGGGAGTATGTTTCAGGAAGGGTCCTGAAGAGACATTGCGATGCGCAGCTTCCAAAAGTCGCCCGCCACTGTGCATTTGCACATGGTTGGGACCACTGTCGGGATGATATGTATTTGTTCTACTCTGCATTGTGCGTTGAATCCGCGTGGAAGTCGAAAGTTCGTTCGGCAAGCTGGGTGGACAGCGATCACGGACAACGGTCGGGGATGAATCAAAACCAGCATTTGTTCAAGTTCACTGACAATCTGCATAATATTGCTTGTCTCGCACTTGCACAGAGCCGAGCACCACGAATTCGGCGTGCTGACGCTGTGGCCCACGTTCAAGACCATGCATGCGGAAAACTCTTCCGCCGTCGCATGGCTACTTTGCTACCTAACACGCGCCACCGTTGGAACTATTGGTTCTCCCTGAGTTGCATCGCCTGCAACTTCATCGCAGAAACGGTAGTTGGGGATCAGTCTTGTGAATTCGGATCCCTGGCTGAGCTGCACGATTCGCTCCGTTGATCCGCACCAGAGCAGCTGAGAGCCTCCCCGCCGACACTCGTCATGGTGACCAAGGGCGTCGGCAACTGGTTCACTAAGGTCCCGAGGTTGGCCGTTGAACTCGCTCGTGAAGATGAAATTCCCGAACCTGTCCGCATCACTCGCTACCAATACATCGTCATACCTGACGGCGCCCGTGGATCTGGTCGGAAGAAATACGCACGAACACCGGAAATTCATGGATAGCGGACTTCAGTGACGTGCGAGGTGATCGTGTGACTTGCTCTCGACGCTCTGGTACAGGACTTTCTTGCTACAATGAAGCTTGACTGGATCTTCGGATTGTTTCACGTTGGCCCAAACTTGTCTTGCTGACTGGATGATTTCTCCCAAGTTGCCCGATGAGCCCTGGTATCCGTCACCGTGCCCTGAGGCACGAGTTGGAGTGTCCTCAGGCCCCTTGGAGTTCTTCATCCTCAGTCCTGCGCGAATGACTATAAAAGGCCTGGGCCCCTAATTCCTAGTTCTGCCCAGGCGTGCCGCGGCTTCCTCGGGACCCCCCTTGTTCTCGCATGACTGTTTCGAAGCAAAGTGCCCCAAAAGGGGCTGAGAGGCTCTCAAGAGGCCCCGGATACGGCCCACGAGGGCACCGAGTCGCCGAAAGATCGCTCCAAGATGCCCAAGACGGCCCAAGAGCTCCAAGAAGTCCCACCAGAGGGCTACGAGAGGCTAACACTTGTTGTTTTCACAGGTTCCGACGGATTTTAGCGTTCTCGCCTTTCGGGCTTCCGAATCTCCAGGACAGCTCAAGAGGCCCCCAAGATCGCCCCCAAGGCCTCCAAGAGGACCCCCAGACGGCCGACGAGAGCCACATGACGGCCCCGAGAGGCCCCGCCCTGAAGAAGGCCCCAGGGGGCGCCAAGAGGGGCCCAAGCGAGGCCCCGAAGGGGGAGCACGAGCCTGCACTTCGAACCCTCCGCACCCAGACGACCTCCGAGACCGGCAGCAGGCCCTCGAGAAGCCCCCCAGAAGCTCGAGGCCCCCGAAAGCCCAAATCGGTCACCAAGAAGCCCAGAAACGGTCCCCGAGAGGCCCCCAAGCGCCTCCAAGAGGCTCCCTAGAGGTCTGCCAAGAGATCCCCACAGGTATCCAAGAGACTTCTGACCCACAACCCAGGCGGGGTAGCGGAATGAGCCAAAGGCCACTCGATAGCGAAGTTTTTGCGTGCCAGCGACAAGCTGCATTCTTGCAGACTTTGCACAGTGGAGGGACTGCGAAGTCTTTAAAGCCCGAACGATGGCAGCAAATTGAGTGGGTCATTTGCTCGTCGCGTGCCGTCTGAATAGTGAAGACTGCCCACTGTTTCTTCAACGCAGTTTGACAGATGCGAAGTTCTACGATAAGGTATGCCCCTTGGAATCAGAGGAGTGGGAGATTGATCTGCTTGCAATGTTCAGTGTCGCAGCCTGAGAAGATCTGCGACTCGCATGTGTTCTCCGTGTGCTCCATTGGAATACGTAAGCTTGTGGATAATAGTGCTTCTGGAGAACCCGAGTGTCCCCAACCTCGGCTGACATGTTTCGCTTCGCATGGCAACCGGCGGAGTAAAGTGGGCCCTGCGATGGGCAACTCGATTCGTACGATCGGTTCTGAGCAGGGCACGCGTGAGCAGCTGATATGACATCTTTCTCTCAGTTTGTGCGCGGTCGAGCTGCACTGACTTCCGTTTCTTGCGTATTTTGCGCAAGGGGGCGATGTGCGTAATATCTCGCAGAATGCCGTTCTTGAGATGGCACCGCTTTCGAAGTGATACGTCAGAAAGTTCGGCCACCGACACCGTTTTCGTAATTGCCGCTGGGTATCAACGGGCATTGACACACTAAGCACTTCTGGTCTTGCTTTGCAGAATTCAATTGTGATTTCGCAGTAGTACAGGCACCCTGTCTGGATCCTGAAGACGTTTGCACGCTATCGCGTCCTTTGTGCAATGATGCCGTCAGGGAGGGAAGGGCCGCAATGTGGTGGCTCATGATGCCGGGCGGGCCAACTCGAAGAAACAGATGCTTCACATCATTTCACATCCCGTGCCCTCCTCCCTCCTCCTCCTCCTCCTCCTCCTCGGACTCCTCACTATGTCCGTCTCCTCCTCCTCCTCCTCCTCCTCCTCCTTCTCCTCCTCCTCCTCCGTCTCCTCCTCCTCCTCCTCCTCCTCCTCCTCCTCATCATCATCATCATCATCATTTCTCCTCCTCCTCGTCATACCATCCGCATCAACATATAGGGGGCCACATGCGAACCCTACCCCACCCCCCATGATTTCTGAGGGGGAGGGTGGGGTTCACTTCGTCTGGGAGCTCCCGAGCGAGGTGAACCCAACCCTCCCCCTCAGAAATCGTGGGGGGTAGGGTAGGGTTCGCATGTGGCCCCCTAACATACCCTCTCACCCACAACCCATCCCATCCCGCCGCTGCTGCTCCCCCCTCCGCCTCGCCACGCCCGCCCCGTCCCGCCTCTCGACCCGCCGCCCGCCCCGCTCACTCCCCGCCGTCCTCGCCCGGCGCCCCGCCCGGCCGACTTCCGTCCCCCAGCGGCAGCACCGGCCGGAGGGAGCAGGAGGTCGAAGGATGACGATCGGGAGGAGAAGGAGGAGGAGGAGGATGAGGAGGAGGAGGAGGAGGAGGAGAGAGGAGAGAGGAGAGAGGAGGAGGAGGAGGAGGAGGAGGAGGAGGAGGAGGAGGAGGAGGAGGAGGAGGAGGAGGAGGAGGAGGAGGATGAGGAGGAGGAGGGGGAGGAGGAGGAGGAGGAGAGGGGAGGAGGAGGAGGAGGAGAGGAGGAGGAGGAGGGAGGAGGAGGAGGAGGAGAGGAGGAGGCGGGGGGGAGGGCCGCCTGGCTGGCCTCCGGCGAGACGGAGCCCCGCCAGTAGAGGTCCATCAGGTGCGCAGGCCGGTCCTGCTGGAAGGCGCGCCGGCGGAGCCTCCCCTCCTGCTGCTCCCTCCCGCCTCTCTCCTCCTCCGCTTCCTTCCCTCTTCCCTCCTCCTCCCTCCTCCTCCACTTCCCCTCGTCCTCGTCCTCCTCCTCCTCCTCCTCCTCTCCTTCCCGCCTCTCTTCGCTCCTCCTCCTCCTCCTCCTCCTCCGCCTGCTTCTACTCATCCTCGACAATGACACAATATGAATACTACTCTCCTCTCTCCCGTGACTCTGTCAAGATAGTGTCCCGTCCTCTCCGCATGTTGTTTTCCTTACACACAGGATTTCATTGTTTGGTTTTTCCTATGTTTTTTGGATCCTGTCGTGTCTGGCTCTTCCAACATGGTGTTCCCGCCGCAGCGCCGCCCTCATTTCCGCGCTTCGGTCATTCAACATCGTGCTCCCGCTGCAGCGCTGGCCTCTTTCCCGCTCCTCTAGACAGTACTTGGCATTCGAAAGCGCCAACATCGGGCATGCACGTTGATGACATGGAGCCGGCATTCCGGACAGGCCCTGTCCTCTGGTAGACGGACCACCTACCCTGCAAATCATCCGGTACCATGCCACGGCACGCAATGCGATGCTGTGTTGTGCACCGCTGTGCGATGCTGTGTTTTGCGTTGCTACGCTTTGTGATGCTATGCTTCACTACGCAGTGCCACGCCATGCTATGGCATGCTATGCTCTGCCGTGCTCTTCTAAACCATGCTTTCCCATCCATCGCTTACCCTCTTGGGATCATTTGCCCTGCTCGACATCTGACTGTGCGAATAGATAGGAGATCTACGCCATGCTAAGGGATGGGCGGGAGGGGTAGGACGTCAGTTGTGATGCTGGCGCACCTAGCTTGTCAAACCCCCCTCCCTCCTTCCCTCCCTCCTCCGTTCACCATCCTCTCTTCTCACGCCTCTCTTCGCTCTTCCTCACCGCTCACCCCCTGACCCAGAACTTCCCGCACGAGAAACCACGGCACCCGCGACGGCAGCCGGTCTCGCCCAGTGCCCGCGGCTACTGTCCGCCACCGCCGCCTCGGGCCCACAGAAACTGACTGGCCTTCCACGCGCCTCGCCCCAGAGTGGCAGCCGCACTGACCCAGATGCGGAGCGCTGACTCTAACAATCCGCATTGGATATCCGAAGACCTCCTACGTAGCGCGACGCCAACACGTATGGTAAACGGAATCATTTCCTGTATTGGCGTATGAGTGTCAATATTGGCGTACAGATGTCCTTACAAATATATTACTGTCTTTACTGACGTATTCATGGTTCGAATCACTATCCCTATTATCGGCGCGGCAACCCAAGAAAAAAAGGTCTTTGTGGCACCTCGCCCTAGCTCAACGCACACCACGCAGATTGCACCACATAGTTCACACCACAAAAAATGGCCCATACCACATAGATCGACGACATCGTTTACACCGAACACAAATGCACCGCACAGAAGGATTCCAGGGAGGAGGCGGGGCGACGTCACCAAGACACACCACGACCGTGAAGCATGACTGAGAGCACAGCCAGTGCCGGCCAGACATGAAGCCCGCCCTGGCACAGACTGGCATCGCCAAGCAGCCGTGTGCAAGGCCGTACTGAAAAGGGGGAGCAATTCAAATCCCCAGCGTCAGCGTTGGCGCAAGAGCCTGTCGAGAAATACGCGAGGAGGAGGAGAAAGAGGAGGAGGAGGAGGAGGAGGCGGAAGACAACGCTGATTGATTCATCTATCTCTCTCTCTCTCTTTCTCTCTCTCTTCCCGGGACTATCCACCCCTGGATATGTGCAATGTTTGATGCGACTCTGCCCCTGTGGAAATTTACCGTCGCAGAGCATGAAGCTGCCCGCGTTCCCGCACGCACTGAGGGCGGAACGGATCGTGCAGCTGTCGGGCCATGACCTGGGAGGTCCAGAGCGGCCCAAAGCCAGCGGAACGCGGACAGCACAACGGGGGCGCCCCCCCCCGTGCAGTTGCGCGCGCGAGCAGAGCACAGCGCATGGTGGAGTGGGTGGGCAATGAGACAGCGCTGCGCACCAGGCACGCGCCCAGCTCCACGCCGAGCGGCCACGCGACGGCTGCCACGCACGAGAGTGCGCCAATCAACCAACCAACCAACCAGGACGAGGGAGGAGGAGGACGCGGCGTAGCATCCCCACGCCGACTTCCGCCGGCCGCACCGCAGCCCAAGGCGCGGAGCACAGGAAACACCCGACAGAGACCAGCAGGGCGCCAGGGAGGGCCAGCGGAGACCACGGGGACCCCCGAATCCGCAACCCCGCTTTGGGAGCGCCCACGGGCGTGACAGCAAGAAGGCCAGAAGGCAATGAGGCAACAAGTGGCAAATGTACAACATCCCCGCTCCTCAAATTTCCCTGCTCCCCAAATTGCTGCGCAATCTAGGAGCGACGGAAATTTACCGTCGCAGAGCATGAAGCTGCCCGCGTTCCCGCACGCACTGAGGGCGGAACGGATCGTGCAGCTGGCGGGCCATGACCTGGGAGGTCCAGAGCGGCCCAGTGCACCCAGGCAGGGACAGGCAGCTGCGCGAAGCGACTGCGAATATTCTTGAGCCCAGTGCAAGCAGGAGCTTTTCACTCGCCAGCTTCCGACGAGTCAGAGTGGTCAACCAGAAACTCTGCAGCTGCTATGGCTCCTCTGGCGCGAGCAGAAGCGTAAGCAAAGGCACTCAATCCGCGCCAGCCTCCCGAGTAAAACAGAGCAGTCGGGCCACCTGCCTGCAGGCACTCTGTCGCCCAGCCCCGCCGAAAAGCGTGGGTGCCCCAGGGCGCGGCGTTGGCAAAGCCACACGCGCCGGCGGCAATTTTTAGCATCCCCAAGCTTTCAGCATAAGTAATACCTGAGAAAATGTTGGGCACCTGGACGTCGTCACGCAGCCGGACCACAACGCAAACACCACAAAGGGCACGACCCTGCAGTTTGCAGATGCAGGTTCGCGCGACCTCCACAGGTTCCGAATAACACTTTCTCTGCATGAAAGTGATGCAAATTTGACGGCGCCCGTCTGCTGCAACGCCGACGCGAACCGGGGCACGCTCGTTCCCGATCTGGAGAACCTCGCCGTAGCGCAAGCAGAAATGCCTGGCGACAACCCAGGAATCCCCCAGCAATGGAAAGCCGAAACTGACGCACCACATGGCGAGGGCTCTTGTCTCTTCAGCCGAAGCCCGCACCCGCAGTCTCTGTTGAGCTCGCCCTGCTTTTTCTGCGCCTCGGGCAACTCGAGCCGCGTCTGCCAGTGGCCCAATTGGGCATCTCAGCCACGACAGCACTGTGCGGAGATGGGACAGGTACCGGCTCAACGACGACGAGCTGCGAAATAAACCAACAAAGCAATCCACCGCTACCTGCGTGGGAGGCCACGGGTGGCTCCCGCAAGCACGCGCTGCCTGCCCGTAGAGGCGAATCGCGGACGCGTAGCCAGGAGCACTGGTTTCCCAACCACAGAATTCCAGCCAAACTGCCTGCTCAGCGAGCGCCGTTGGCGCCAAGTTGGCCTGCAAAAGCTCTGTGCGTGGCTTCTTCGTGGGGGGCGCGCACGGCCCACAATCCTGCTTCGCCAGTGCAAGAATCGCTTTTGCGAGGGTTTCTGGCTCGGGAATCTGCCCAGAAGCACGCGCCAGGGCACATGACCGAAGCGCTGCCTCAGCTGTCGCTCTGGTCTCCGGCGCTGGAGGCGGTGAACGTGGGCCTGCGCCTCCTTGGCGGCCAGGAGGCGAGCTTGATGAAACATCTGCCCCAGTAATACCCTGGGGCGCTGCTACTCGGGTTGCAGGGCTGCATACAGCAATCAGCGCACGAACGAACGTCTCGAACACGGTGGCCAAAGGTGCCCAAATAAGCACCGCTTCCTCCACAGTAATGCCACGGAAATCATCACTGTTCGAAACGCCTGCCTCCTGAAGCTTGCTGCACAGCGACGCCGCGTCGATGTCGGCCCTGGAAACAGCAGCGGCTCGCTCGAGCAGCGTGGACAACCCTGCAAATGAACCCTCCGAGCCCGAAGGTGGGTCCGCTGCAGCAATTGACCTCCCAGCAGCGCTGGCCCGGCTCTGCTCAAGAAATTTGAGCATATTGGGCCAAGCTGCTACAGAATCGACGTGCGGCGACGATGACGCACAGGCAGCGCGACTACTCATGACCCACATGAAACTGCAAACCAAGCACGAGACGCGGACCGGACGCACAAAACGAAAAACCACAGAAGCACGTTTCCGGGCCGAAGAGGCACCTGGTTGGGATCCGCCCAAATCGGCACTGAAATGCGGCCGACGCCGAGACCATAACGCGGACCCAGCTGTGCCAAAACCCGCGAACTGCCTTTGAGAAGCAACGCCGCCAGAAGAGACGACCGAAGACGCAGATGAGCACATGCTTTTTCCATGGCGCTCATTTTCCAGATCCACGGCCTCACTGCGGCCACGGCGCATCGCAGGGAGCAACCCATGCGACATGGCGGAAACCTGCGGCGCGCATCGCTTCCAGCGCTGCGGCCTTGCCTTCCGGCCTGGTGGGCGCGTCTGCCACGTTAAGGTGGCTGGGGACGAAAAAACTATAGAGAAGCACGCCAGCGCGGGCGATTCGAAGCCACAGGTCGCCTATCAGATCGTTCCAAACAGACTGCCTGGACGACCCTCGGATCAAAGTGCCGAGGGCCACAGTGTTGTCCACAAAAAGCAACACCTCGAGCTCGCCCAAATGGCTGAGAAGGAAATTGATCGCGCAAATTGCAGCGAACAGTTCCCACGTGGCTACCTGATTCCTGCGGTGGTGCACCCAGTTCCGCGCTGGTTCGGGCACAGTGGCAGCCGACCACAGACGCGCGCCGGGGAAGCAAAGGGCCCACGCCGCATTGCCACTTCCCGTGGCGTCCGAATACACAATGCAGCGGACGCGAGCTGCTGGCCTCGCGCAAAGCACAGTGCGGGGCGGAACGCATTCAAGGAAGCGAAGCCACCACTGCAGCGCGCGAGTAACACGACCAGAAAGTTTGGAGCCGCGCTCCGACGCGTGCTTGAAAAGTGGAGCCAGGTGCACTCTGGCCGCGCGACCAAACACTGCTGACGACCCCCAGCTGAGTCGGCCGGCCAATTTCTTGGCTTCAGCTGGGGACATCGCGCCATGGCCCAGGATGGCGCGAATTTGCGCACTCCACCGCGCGAGCTTTTCGGGGCCAATCGACATGCGCACCGCGGAGCAGCCCTGAACAATCTCGCAATCTACTCCCAAAATTTGCGCAGAGGTGGCATTCGACACCCGCTTGGAAGCGCCCAGCTCCCACCCGAGCAGGCCTGCGACCACCTCGCACGCCACGTCGCTGGCGCCTGCTGGCGTGCTCAAGCGCGGCGCCCCCGCCCAAACCGGGTCGGCCCCAAAAAGGTCGTCCACGAAGCGAAGAAACACAACGTGAAACAACCTGGCCAGAATGGCGCGGACAGCCGCGCCAAACCTTTCCCAGTTGTAGACAGAGGCGGCTGCGCCAAAAGGGCACGCCAAAAGCTGAAGCCCTTGGCCACGGGACTCGGCTGCAGCCCAGGTGACAACAGCAAACTGCAATTGCGAGCTCGCCAGTGGGAGCGTTTTGAAAGCATTCACGAAATCCTCCTTGCGAAGCGCGGCTCCGCCAGCGCTTGCGAGGATCGTCTTGCTAAGGACAGCTACGAATTGACCTAGACCGTCGTGCTGGACTGCTTCCCCCACGGAAACAGCTGCATTTATATGCGACGCCGTGAAATCGTCGATGCAGCGGATTTTCCTCGAGGCAGCTTTCCAGCCCTCGTCGACAGGGAACCTGGCAGTGAGGACGCATGCGTCACGCAGAGGGCGCCACCTAGCGCGATCATCGGCGGCCTCCTTTTCGCATTTCTCGTGAAAAACTGCCTGGACCAACTGCTCCACAGTGGCGGGCCGCCGCGCGCGGCGACGCGTTACAGAGTTGAGAGAATGCGCCCGATCTCGCAGCGTAGCTGCTGTCTCGGCACACTCGGAGAAAGGAATGCTCGGGAGCACGCCGCTGCGTGGGATTTGGCCCAGAAGTGGGAAACCGTTCTGTAGGTCCCCAACGAGCCGGGCGTCAGGCCAGCCAATTGCCTCGAGCATTTCTGCCAGCACAAGTAGATTTTTCTTCGGACCGAGAACGCCCTGGACGTGCGCGGGACTATCCACCCCTGGAGATGTGCAATGTTTGATGCGACTCTGCCCCTGTATAAATCAAAATATAAGCGCGCATGGTCCCAGCCGAACCGGGTTCGACCCGATATTGGGACCAATCCTGGCTTACTACCTAATCCCAAGTCCCGCCCGTTTGGGACCAATCCCAGCTGAATCGGTATCAATCCCAGCTGAGAACCATCTCGCGTGTTATTTCTCAAGCAATACACAGAAGACTTGCTGTAAACATGCTCAAAAGACATCTTCAGCAACGCCTCTTAGAAAATACTCATAAGACGTCAAATCGTAATTCTGAAGGAGTATGCTTAGCTTGCTAAGTCGCACTGATTAAATCATATGTTTAAGACTTCTGAAGCAATATGAAATTACGCTACCGAGGAACCCCACATACTTAATTTAAATCTTATGTCAACGCCTGCTACGCTGTCACGCTCTCCGACCCTGGCACGCATAGACGCCGCGGTGAGAGACCACCCCCTGCGCACCCCCCCTGGTGTCGAGAAAGTGCCACGCCTGCCGCGCTCTCCGACCCTGGCACGCATAGACGCCGCGGTGAGAGACCACCCCCTGCGCACCCTCTCTGGTGTCGAGAAAGTGCCACGCCTGCCACGCTCTCCGACCCTGGCACGCATAGACGCCGCGGTGAGAGACCACCCCCTGCGCACCCCCTCTGGTGTCGAGAAAGTGCCACGCCTGCCACGCTCTCCGACCCTGGCACGCATAGACGCCGCGGTGAGAGACCACCCCTGCGCTCTCTGTGCCGCCGAGAAGAAAGTGCCACGCCTGCCACGCTCTCCGACCCTGGCACGCATAGACGCCGCGGTGAGAGACCACCCCCTGCGCACCCCCTCTGGTGTCGAGAAAGTGCCACGCCTGCCGCGCTCTCCGACCCTGGCACGCATAAGGGCCGCGGTGAGACACCACCCCCGTGCGCACCCCCTCTGGTGTCGAGAAAGTGCCACGCCTGCCACGCTCTCCGACCCTGGCACGCATAGACGCCGCGGTGAGAGACCACCCCCTGCGCACCCTCTCTGGTGTCGAGAAAGTGCCACGCCTGCCACGCTCTCCGACCCTGGCACGCATAGACGCCGCGGTGAGAGACCACCCCCTGCGCACCCTCTCTGGTGTCGAGAAAGTGCCACGCCTGCCACGCTCTCCGACCCTGGCACGCATAGACGCCGCGGTGAGAGACCACCCCCTGCGCACCCTCCCTGGTGTCGAGAAAGTGCCACGCCTGCCACGCTCTCCGACCCTTGCACGCATAGACGCCGCGGTGAGAGACCACCCCTGCGCACCCTCTCTGGTGTCGAGACCTGGCACGCATAGGGGCCGCGGTGAGAGACCACCCCCTGCGCACCCTCTCTGGTGTCGAGAAAGTGCCACGCCTGCCACGCTCTCCGACCCTTGCACGCATAGACGCCGCGGTGAGAGACACCCTTGCGCACCCCTCTGGAATCGAGAAAATGCCACGCCTGTCACGCTCTCCGACCCTGGCACGCATAAGGGCCGCGGTGAGACACCATCCCCGTGCGCACCCCATCTGGTGTCGAGAAAATGCCACGCCTGCCACGCTCTCCGACCCTGGCACGCATAGACGCCGCGGTGAGAGACCACCCCCTGCGCACCCTCTCTGGTGTCGAGAAAGTGCCACGCCTGCCACGCTCTCCGACCCTGGCACGCATAAACGCCGCGGTGAGAGACCACCCCCTGCGCACCCTCTCTGGTGTCGAGAAAGTGCCACTCCTGCCACGCTCTCCGACCCTGGCACGCATAGCGGCGGCGGTGAGAGACCACCCCCTACGCACCCCCTCTGGTGTCGAGAAAGTGCCACGCCTGCCACGCTCTCCGACCCTGGCACGCATAGACGCCGCGGTGAGACACCACCCCCTGCGCACCCTCTCTGGTGTTGAGAAAATGCCGCGCCCGCCACGCTCTCCGACCCTGCTGTGAGGAGGAGGGGAGGTGTGAGGTGAGACGCGGGTGCGACGCGGCAGGGAAGAAAACCAGAACCCCACGAAGCATGTGGGGAAACACAGGTATTGTTAAGACCGCTTCAAACATAATCATTAAGACGTGCTCGTCGGACTTCAGAGAGGCCTCTTGGGAGGGGTCCATCTGATTCCTTTAGGGCGTCTTACGTTTGTTATAATTTTCGTATACGGCTCACGCAGGGGCCGCATGCGAATAAATTGGGAATCCTGGACGGATCACATGAACATCGTATACAATTTCTATCGGAATCGTAGACGACCTGCATAGGAACCGTGCACGATTCACGTAGAATCCGTATACGCTTCACATAGGGATCGTACACACTTCGCGCAGGGTCCGCTGTGCGATTCCCATACGAATCGCATGTGATTCTCACAGGAATCGTAGACTAGGACCTGCATACGATTTACACGGCTAGGTATACGATTCACACTGGAAGCGTATACGATTCACAAAAGAACCGTGCACGGTTCACATAGCGAGTCGTCTACGATTCAAATTGGAATCGCATGCGATGCGCACAGGGATCGCGCACGAGTCCCATCAAAAACGTATGCGTTGCACATAGGAGTCGTCCACGATTTAAACTAGAACCGCATATGATTTGCACAGGATTCGTACACGACTCGCAAAACATCGCGCACGAGTGACAGAATAACCTTTTACGGTCAACCGAAGAACCGCATGCGTTTCACGTATCATTGACGATTCAAATAAGGACCGTATACGGCCCACATAGGAATCGTTTACGGCCCACATAAGGGTCGTATACGCTTCACATCCAGGAACCGGTTCAAGCAGGATACCTATACCATTCACGTAGGCGTTGTCTGCGATTTGCATGTGTGTGTATGTGTACGTTACACACTCTAACATTCGAAGCGCATGCGACTCACATTCCCAAGCCGTGTACGATTCACATCGCTTCACAGATGAGTCGTCTACGATACACATTTGGAATCGCATACGATGCGCACAAGATCCGCATACGATTCGCATACGAACCGTATACGATTCACAGTGGAATCGCTGACGAGTCATAGCGACAATCGTACACGACCCACATGTGAGTCGCATGCGATTCGCACAGAACTTGTAGACCTTTCACATTGGAATCCGATGCAGTTCACACAATAATCGTATGCGATACACGCAGGACCGATATAAGTTTCACACTGGAACCATAAATGATTCACGCAGAAATCACGAATTTACACATATGAAACGTTGACGATTCACAGAAGGGCCGTGTACGATTCACACAAAACACGTATACATTGGTGCCGTACATGACTCACGGAAAAATCGTGTACGATTCACATTGGGATCGTATACTAGGAATCGCATGCAATTCACATAAGAACCGCACGCGAGTCACATAGGAATCCGCCGACCCCGGTCACGGCGTGTGAAATGCTTTCCCCTCCCCAAACCCCTCCCCGGGAGCCCACTCCAGCTGGTTTGGAGGGGGTGGGTGGAGCGGGGGGTAAATGCGTCAGCCGCGCCCTTGGAGCCTCAGGGGGCCCCAAAACAGGCCAAGAGAGTACCAAAAGGCCCCCCCGACGGTCCCAGAGACCTACGAGTCGCCGAGGGGTCGCTCCAAGACGCCCAATATTGCCTCAAGACGGCCCCAGAGGCCCCTAAGACGCCCGAGGAAGCCACCAAGAGGCGTCCCAAGAGGCCCTCAAGCAGCAACAATCGTCCCATTCCCTACGGAAAACGTACATGTTTAGCACATTCGCCTCTTGGGCGTTCACGAGGCCGACAACGGCACAAGCAGCCTTCGAAGATCGGCCCCAGACATCCCAAGGGGCCCCCTAAGAGAGCCCAAGACGGCCTCAGAGGGCCCCAAGAGGGCCCCAGAATCCACCACAACGGCCCAGGAGAGCCCCAGGACGGCCCAAAGAGGGCCCCCCGAAATGGGCCAAGAGGATCCCAAAAAGGTTTCCTGGACGGTCCAAGAGGGCTACGAGACGTCGAGAGGTCGCTCCAAGACGCTCAAGACTGTCCCCAGACGGCCCTGGAGGCCTCCAATCCGCCCTGAGCAGCCACCAGGAGGCGCCCCAAGAGGCCCTCAGGAAACAAACAACGTCTCACTGTCGATGGAAAACGTAAATGTTCAGCACATTCGCCTTTTGGGCTCTCACGAGGCCCACAACAGTCCAAGAAGCCTTCAATACCGACCCAAAACAACCCAAGAGGCTCCCAAGAGGGCCCTGCAACGGCCCAGAAGGGCGCCAAGAGGGCCCCCGAAGCCACCAGAATGGCCCAGGAGAGCCCCAGGACGGCCCTAAGAGGGCCCCCAAATAGGCCAAGAGGGTCCCACAAGGCCCCCCCCGACGGTCCAAGAGGGCTATGACTCGTCAGGAGATCGCTCCAAGACGCCCAAGATTGCCTCTAGACGGCCCCGAGGTCTGCGTGCGCGCTCCGGCGAATTTTCCAGGAAACAATGCGTTTGGTTTGTTTTTTTCTCGACAAGATGTTCATACCCTGCGGAAAACAAGGATTCACGCGCGCGCTTGTCGAAATCATTCGAACGCCCTGGCGCGCGTGCTTTGGGGGGGCGATCCTTGTCAAATAATACGATGCGGGCCACTCGCGCGCGTGGGCCGCGCGCGCATGTTGAAATCCCCCAAAACCTCCATCGCCGACGTGAAGACAGCATCATCGCCATCGGCGTGTTCAACACCGGCGCCGTTATTGGCCGTGCCGTCGTCATCGTCATCATCGCCATCGTTATCGCTACTATCATCATCGTGTCTACCGTCGCCGACGTCGCCATGATACCGCGCCTGCCCAAGTCACCGACTCGGACTGGAGTGCCCACGCGGCAGCGCGGCCTGCGAGACGCGCTGGGGAATGCCCAGCGGTAAGCGCCACCGCTACCGCGTCGGTCGCGCCAGACTAGCTGGCCGCTCTGCGCGCGAGCCTGCGAGCGCTAGCGCGGCCGCAGCGATTTGCCAGCTAGCGCCAGGCAGGCATTACAATTGCCGTCTCATGGGTGCTGCAAACCAAGTTGCGGGTTGGTGGGTGGGAAGATTGCGCGAGCAGTGAAGTTGAAAACTCACTGCGAACAAAGAAGAACAGCACCACATAGATTGCAGCACGTAGTTTAAAGACACCACATAGATCTCACTAAATGGTATGCTAGAACACGCTGCTTGTATGTGACAGTACATAACTCGGCAT